GAGAAAGGAATACACATGTGTTTTCCAACAAAACATGTTTCCTTAAATTATGTTAATCATTACCTTAATATATACAAAAACATAGTTTTTTTCGTTTTTTTAATTTTTAAGAAGCTATTTTTATCGAAAAATAATATTAAATATACCAAAATTCATGATTTTTTATTCTCTACAAATAGACATCCATATGATATACTTTTAAGATAAATAAAAAATTTATTTTTTTTATATTCAGCTATCGTTATTCATAAGTGAATAAAAATGCCATCAAATTTTTGCTACATTACATTTGTTATTCACTTATGAATAAAAATATATAATTAATTTATTTTACAGTTTAAGTATCATTTATACTACTTATTAATATATGAATAACAAATTAACTGTAACAACAATCTGATAATTGTTTTATTCATATATGAATATAAAATATGACGACAACTAATACACGTTTTATTCATATATAAATAGAATATATGACGAAAGATGATGTAAAAAGTATATTTTAAGTAAGAAAACTTTATTACGTGTCATATTCATATATGAACGATACTTAAACTATAAAAAAAATTTAAGCATACGTTTTATTCATAAGTGAATAACAAATGTACTATAATAAAAAATCTGATAGAGAATAAAAAATTATGAATTTTGGTATATTTAATATCATTTTACGATAAAAATGTCTTTCTAAAAATAAAAAAACAAAAAAAGTATGTTTTTGTGTATATTAAAGTAATGATTAGCATAGTTAAAGGAAACATGTTTGGTTGGAAAACAAATGTTTATCCGTATCCATTTCCGCCGGTATGCCTAAGTATTTTCGCGCAAAATAAATGTGGGCAGAATGATTCCCCAATTCAATCTTTTTTTCTCATTGAACCCTCCTCCTCTCTCTCCTCTATATATATATATATATATATATATATTATATATACACACACACACACACAAAGATCAACCGATGATATATAGTCGGAAGAGTATATACAAAGATAGTGTGGTGTGTGTGTGTGTATATATATATCATATAATTATGAGATCATAAATATAATTATCAAATTTATAAATATAGGATAATACATATATATATATATAATATTATATCTATATATATATATATCTTATATATATATATATATAATAAAAGGTACATATTTATACTAGTGTTTTCTGCATAATGTCTTAAATTTAAGACTAAGAGGTATAATTTATATATCGACAAACCTTTGATACAGTTTCATATAGCTAACTCATCCTTTCAATTGAGAGAAAATGACTTATAAGGGTAATCATCTCTATCGATTTGTTCACAATTAGGTAACTTTTTTATTTTTGTACATATTTGACCATTTAACTTGTTATATGTGTTCACATATTGGCAATGTCACCGACTATAGCAGGTGACAATGCTAATATGTGAACAAATTAACAAGTTAAAATGGTTAAATATGTACAAAAAAATGAAGTTACCTAAATATGAACAAGATGAAAAGGTAGTTACCCTGATAAGTCATTTTTCTCATTTTTAATAGCGATTTTATTTTTCATATTTGTTTGTATTATTTTTTTCAAATGTTATTTTAAAAATATCCATAATTTTCTAAATATTTATTAAATATTTATCATTTTTAAACTTTACTTTTAAATTAATAAATATGTTTTTGTTTTGTGAAATATTTTATATAGTCTCTTAGAACTTTTTTTTCTTTTGTTTTTAAGCATATACAATATTTTTAAAGTAAATAGTATCTAATAATAAAATTAAATTAATTAAATATGTAACGATAATTATGGAGGGTCTTTTAAAAAAATAAAAAGAAAATATTACTTAGCAAATAAAAAACAAAAAAATCTATATAATGTAAATGTTTTAAAATTATTCCAACTTTTTAATAATTTTTAATTAGAAGTTTATAAACTTTTAAATTTTTTAATACACCGTTTTAAACTAGTATTTAACAAAAATATTTTAAAATGTTATTAAAAAATATTAAACTATCATACAAAATCTGTGAAACATTTTAAAAATGTTGTAAAAGAAAGTTTAAAACTAAATATATGAAAATTATAAAACAATTGTGTGAAAATGTATGAAAATTATAAACCAGTTGTATTAAAATTATATGAAATATTAAAAAAAGTTCAAAAAAATTATAAACAAAGATTTAAAACATTGTATTAGAAAATCCGTAGGAAAAAAATATCATAAAAATATTGTAAGAAATAATAAAAATTTTTAAAAAATTTGTAAAAAAAATATTCACATTTAAACAACTTTCTTTTTTGTATACATTTGACTATTTAATTTGTTAAATGTGTTCATATAGCAGGTGACAATGGTAATATATGAACACAAATATGTGAACACATTTAACAAGTTAAATGGTCATACAAAAAAAATAAAGTTATCTAAACGTGAACAAGACGAAAAGATAATTAATCTCGCAAGTCATTTCCCTTCGATTGACACAGAATGCCAACATGGAGGATTGACCGATTGACAAGGTGTCTAATACAATGAATACCAAGCGATATATTTGATCCAACGATTTCAAAACCTTGTGAAGAATCACAAAGCCTCATTTCCATCCATTTATATTATTAATCACAAAACTCATTTTCCGAAACCCCAATCTTTCATTATCGTACCGACCATGAAACCATGATCTGCATCCTACCCGTCGCGATTGATTACCTTCATTTCTCCATCTCTTATACTACCTTGAACTAACCCTAAACGCTACCAGCTCTCATAGGATCTGTAACAGACACCACCGGTGCCTCCACCCACCGTCAACATCTCTTTAAAAACCCTATAATCTTCAGCCAGAGCCGTCATCGACGTAATCTATACCACTGGCAATACTACCATCAGCCGCCATGGCTCCTCATCCTTCTTCTTCTCTCACTAGATAAATGATTTGTTTGTACTTTCACTTCCAAAAAACACAAGCCCATTTCTATCTTCAACGTAAGCCAACTAGCTTGCAACGCTATTGTCATCTTTATTGTCATATCTGATATATTGTTTTTGATTTTGTTTATTAGAGCTTAAACTTCAAATGGTGATTTTTTTTTTGTGTCTGACAAATTTGTTAATCTATGTCATTTATGCTTGGTTTGACGTAATTATTCAAGTAAAAATGAAGATGCCATCTATTTAGTAAACAAAGCAGTTAAAGAAGGAATTGTAGTGTTTTTTGTACATATTTTTGTTAAAATGCTTGATATTCTTGTGATTTTGATAGTTTTAGAGAATATATTGTTCTGAAATCATTGATGGTTTTGTGATCACCTGTTTTGATATTTTTATGATTGTGATATTCTAATGGTTTTATGTATGTGCTTTAAGATCTGGAACTACAAATTAAAGACACCAAAACGTAAAAGTAGATCTATACAAGGTTGTATTGAGCTCTTTGTAGTATATCTTATAAGTTATTATGTTGATCATAAAGCATTCATGTTCCTCATTTTAAAAGTGTTGATGTTCAGTTTGTTGTTTTAATGCTATAATATCCGAAAAAATTATATAAATTGTCAATAATTGTTAATTTCGGTAGTTGGTATCCTGTTTGATGGAGTTAATAGCGTGTCTTTACCGAAAAAGGTTTTTAGTTTCAATGGGTTCTAATTAAGCTTTATTTTGTTATCTCTCTTTTTGCGTTATGATATAAACTTTGTGTTTGATCTTATTTCTGTTGTCTTATTGTTCTTGACAATATCTTTATGTGTATGTATGTGACGATATTGTCTTATTTGTGTTTGTTTATCTATTATGTTTGTATGATATTTAGTATGTATGTGTATGTTTTATTATGTCTGTATGCATGATCTACTGAAAATTTTCAAGCATAGAAAATTGGTGCAAAATACTCCTGAAATGAATGATATTTTTCTTTGATGGTGGAATAATACAATAAAAATGGGCATAAAAATCAAAATTTAAACTCAATGAGAACATAAGGTAAGGATATGTTACTATAATGATGATTTATTTGCATACATTTTCAAAATTTATAAATCTATATAATTTTAATATTTAAAATTGAAAGCGGTTAAATTTACTACCTTCATAATTTTATATCATTAGCATATGACTTTAAGATTGTAAATGACTCCCAGTTATTTTTAAAAAAGATTTAAATTATATTTTTGTTTTATTTTTTAATTATATTAACTTAATATATAATACACATAATAGCAGTTTTAGTTAAACAATGGTGATTTTATTCGAGTCCTCCTAGATGAGTTTTTTGGTAAATATAATTTATTGAAAGCATGTAATTGTTGATTCAATGTCATTTTTTTTTTAATGGCAAAATTATATAAAAGATGCCCCAACTAGCAAGTGACTAGGAGGGGACTTGCTAGTTGGGTCTCTTTTATACCTTTTGTTGATCATTTGTCAATAATCATTGAAGACGAATTTCATTGGCTTTGTAAAGGTAAATCGGACAATTATGTATAATAATATGAAGAATTTTAATTTTTATTTACTATATTTATCTATTAAGTTGATACTTAATAATTAAAAAATCGTTATACTAACCTTTTTTTAATCAAAAAAGTTTGTGGAAATGCACGTTGATACATATGGATTTTAAATATTGTAATTATTTCATAAGTAGTTTGAGTTTAGATCTTGGACTTTAAAATTTTCCACTTTATTCTGTCAATTTTTCAAGTACATTCGATTAAACAAAATATCCTTGAACAAAAATAATACTTGATTTTTAAGTATTGTATAATTGAAAAATGCATCCTTAATTGTTGTGTTAAGTGTTAAGCCATGATGACAATATTTCAAGTACCGTATAAAGTTTTTGTTACTGTTCATTATACGGAGATTGTCATTTATATACATATTAATTTTGATTTTGAGTTCCCTTATGCACACTAACTTAACCTTATTGGACCACCATTATTTTTTTTTAATTTTTTTTTTCTTTTATTCTATCAATTTATTTTCTTCGTGGGGTAGTTAATGCCTTGCTATGTGTCCTTGGAACAGACGTATAATCCCTGGTGAAATTGCTGAACTTGGTCACATATACGTGTCAGCTTCTTCTTCTCTGCAGTTTTGTTCTCTAATCAAATGCTTACACACCTCGCTGATGCACCCACCGCCTTACCCTAATCTCCATGACTATATCTCTTATCGGGGTTAAATGAAATGCTTACAGAGCTCTTCACCGACAATTGATTCGGGTAAATATAAACCTCTCACATAATCCATCTGAAAACCCTACATCTTCTCCGTTGATGGTTTTCATCGGCGGGATGGTTTTCATCGGCTTAAAATCATAATTGATTTCTTCCCACCAGAAAAGCGCTCCAAAGTAGCTATGGCAGTACTGTCATTTGTGCACCGCCATCAACCTACACACCAACGCATCAACACTCCCACTTTCCCAAATCGAACCTTTAATTTAGGTTTTCTTATGATTCTGATTCTGATTGGGTTCAATCTCTTTCAGATAACTATCTCACCGCTAATTTCTTTGCCGGTTTTGGTTTTGGAGTTGAGTACGACATCTAGAGGCTTGAAGACGAACCGTTGTTTCAGTACTTTCGGGTTCCTTCTTTTTCCTTCGGTTTCAGGTTTTTGGGTTTTAGCTTTCCACTGCGTTTTCGTCCAACGGTTTAACGTCTTGATTTCTCTTCTCGATTTCTATCACCAAGGACTATTTTTTTTTTTCTTATGTTGTTCTATTACTTCAATTGTCTTATGCTGTCGGTGGAATTTTATATGACAGATTGATACTGATAGTTGGAAGAGGAGAACAGAGATGGGGAAAGGCCCAGGTCTATATCCCGATATGGGCAAAAAAACAGAGGTAATTCATCAAAATTTCCAGTTTTTTTTACATCTATGTCCGTATGTGCTCTCAGCTTTTTTTACTGAATTTTTATTGATTTGGACATAGTATTTACCACCACCGTTTGCCTCCATATGTTGAAGGAAGATGGAACTAGGTCGCGATGCTCCTATCTTATTAAAGCCTCGATTTCCCTTTTGCTTATCTCCACCTATATTTTATACTTGGGCATAGATAGTCGGAAGCAAACGCCTCCTGCCACGAACTCTGTTGACTCCTGCTTTCTATGTCACCACCATCGAACGGACAATACACCACCAATGGGTTTGAACATGAGTTATGGTTAAAACACACCTACCTTGAATACTCGATAATTCATGTAGAAACATTTAAAGAAGTTATATTTTATTTATATTGATTTTTAAGAATAAAACACACCTACCTTTTAATCTATTGTTAAAATATGTGTTATGGTTAAAAAAATTAAAAATAAATGAAAAAAGACTTTTTTTAATTATACAAATGAAACTTATTAAAGAGTGTGTCAACAAATAAAATTAATGATAAAATATATTTGACAGAGTTGCAAAAATGGTCCCTGTGGTTTGTCAATTTCTGTGGGTAAGGTCAGAAAAAAGTGTATTAGCATCAAAGGTCGTTATTTGGTGGTTTTGTTGTTGTTTTGGTCCCTACCTTGTTAAATTTAACGGCATGACTTTTAACTTTTGGCAAATGACGGGTTTACCCTTAGGACCATTTCTGCAGTTTTATCTTTTTACCAAACTACAAGGACCAATTATGCAATTTTTATTTATCATTGACAAAATTACAAAAATGGTCCCTGTGGTTTACTAAAAGTCACAAACTCAGTCCCTGTAATTTTTTTTTGATGCAAATGGTCTTGTGGTTTGTAAAACTTATACAAATGATCCTTTTTACTAACTCCGTCAAACTTCTGTCATTAGTGTCTCCCATGTGGGGGTATTTTTGTCTTTTCAAGTATAGGAGGGGACTGAATTCGTTAGATTAAAACCACGGGACCATTTTTGTTATTTGCCTTAAAAAATAAATATCTGAATGTGGTAGGGTTTGACCTCACCACCTCTATTTACATAAGAAACACCTTAACCAACTAAGCTGAACATGGTTTTGATGTTTGTTTTCTAAAACTAATTCATATAGTAAGAAAATCGTTAAACATAAATAATAATAAAAAATGCAAAAACATACTTTTACATAATTTTTTTTAAATAAAACAAATATATTTTTGCGTATTATAAAATAAATAAATTTATACAAATATTTTTTATGTTTTTTTATGTAAATATGTTCTTTTATATATTTAAAAAATATATTTTTCATATAATATTTTATTACGTTGTATTGGAATGCAAAATCGGTCGAATTGTTTTAAAAATTAAAATATATCGCATTAATTTTGGAACAAAAACATTTTCTTAAATGATTCTTTATATATATTTTACAATAGTAATCTGAGTATTGTTCCGATGGTAGTATAATAACATACTTCCAAGTAAGGATGAAAAATATATTTATATTGTCATTAAGCTAACACTTATAAATAACATTTTATTTTTTATTTTTCATTTTTATAAACATAAACAAGATCTCATAAATTCCGGCAAAAAAAACAAGTTATGTTTTTTTTAATACGTGATTTTTTAGATAATCGATTGGGCCAATACAAAAACTTATTCGACCGATTTTGCATTCAGTTTTCTAAAAACCGTTTTTCCCGTATTAAAAAAACATAACTTGTTTTTTTTTTGCGTTATAAATATGAAAAATAAAAAATAAATTTTATTCATAGGTGTTAGCTTAGTGACGATATAAGTATATATTTCATTGTAAATTGGAAATATGTTATTATAATACCAACAGAACAATACCCGGATTACTATTATCAAATATATGTAAAAAAAACATTTAAGAAAATGTTGTTGTTCCAAAATTAGTGCGATATATTTTAATTTTTAAAACAATTCGACCAAATTTACGTTCCAATACTAGGTAATAACATATTATATGAAAATGTATTTTTTAAATAAATAAATAAAAACATATTTACATAAAAACAAATACATAAAAAAACATAAAAATTATTTGTATAAATTTATTTTTTTTATAATACGTCAAAAATATATTTGTTTTATTAAAAAAAACGTTTCATGTAAAAATATGTTTTTGCATTTTTTTTATTATTTATGTTTTAACGATTTTCTTAGTATATAAATGCGTTTTGGGAAGATAAAAACAAATAAATTTTTAGCTCAATTGGTTAAGGAATTCCATTTGCTAAGGTCGAGGTCGTTAGTTCGAACCTCACAGCCTTCAGATCTTTACTTTTTTATGAAAATAACAAAAATGGTCCATGTGGTTTAAATGTAACGAATTCAGTCCTTCCTATACTTGAAAAGACTAAAATACCCCCACATGAGAGGCACTAACGGCAGAATTTTGACGAAGTTAGTAAAAAGGGCCATCTGTGCAAGTTTTGCAAACCACAAGGACCATTTGCATCAAAAAAAATTGCAGGGACTGAGTTTGTGACTTTTAGTAAACCATAAGGACCATTTTTGTAATTTTGTCTTTATCATTTTATTGCATTATTGCATATTAATTCTTTTAATTACTTTTTTTAAAACTTTTTTTTATTGTATTATTTTTTTATTGGATTATTATATTTTAATAAATATTTTTTTAATATATTATATTTATATATTAATAAATATTACTTTTTTATTATTAATTTTTTTGAATTTCTTCTTTATTGCATGAGTTCTTGTTTATTGGATTATTATATATTAATAAATATTATTTTTAACATATAATATTTATCTATTAGTAAGTGTTACTTTATTGGATTATTAATTTTATTTAATTAATTAATTTTATTTTTTTTATTGCGTTAATTCTTTTTATTGGATTATAAATTTAAATATATTATTTTTATTTCTAATAAATAATATTTTTTTAATTTTTTTTAATTTCTTTCTTTACTGTTTTAAATAAAAATATCAAACACTCCTAGTCGGCTCTTCCATTCGTTGCTTTTTACCACCTTGTGTCATCGTATCATCTCGTTGGCAATCATCGATCATTGACTACAGTCGACCATTCTTGACGAAAACTACCCCAGTCTACTACCCACACAATGTGAAATAAACCCCAGAAAGCATACATCCTCCAGTCGACCATTCATTACAGATACCGCCATCGATGACGACAATGTTAGAATGAGGGTTTCAAACCACCATAGCCACTACATGTGGTGGCAAGGTTCTCGAACTCGTTATTCGGTACTCGTTCGGCCGAACGCCGAGTAGTGAATACTCGAATTTGGTAATTCATGTAGAAATATTTTTAGGGAAATTATATATGTCAAAATCATAAGTTAAAATCATAAGTTCATTGAAATATATAACAAATTTAGATACATGTGAATACATAAAAACTAAAATACACACGATGATCTCACTTCCTAAATAATTACTAAAATTATATATATATATATTATATATATATATATATATATATATATATATAGTAACAGGGTTGGAGACGACTGGATAGTGGTTTTTTGTGACTGAGTGATGATGGTGGTGTTGTCTAAAATATGTTATCTTCCCAATATTCAAAATAAATTAGGAAAGGTGGGGCGGGTGATATTTTTTGGTATTTTTATTTACAACATAAAATAAATAAATTAAAAGAAAATAAAAACAATTAAAAAATATTATTTATTATAATTAAAAATAATAATTTAAATTAATAATCCAATAAAAAGAATTAACATAATAAAAAAATTAAAAAAATTAATTAAATGAAATTAATAATTCAATAAAATAATACTTACTAAATAGATAAATATTATATGTTAAAAATAATATTTATTAATATATAATAATCTAATAAAAAAGAATAAATGTAATAAAGAAGAAATTCAAAAAATATTAATTAAAAAAATTAATAATAAAAAAGTAATATTTATTAATATATAAATATAATATATTAAAAATAATATTTACTAATATATAATATTCCAATAAAACAATAATACAATCAGAAAAAAGTTTAAAATAATAATTAAAAGAATTAATATACAATAATTCAATAATATGAAAAAGAAAAATTGCATAATTGGTCCTTGTAGTTTGGTAAAAAGATAAAACTGCAGAAATGGTCCCAAGGGTAGATCCGTCATTAGCCAAAAGTTAACAGTCATGCTGTTAAACTTAACGAGGTAGGGACTAAAACCACAACAAAACCACCAAATAGGGACATTTTTTGCTTATAAACTTTTTTTATGGACCTTACCCAAAGAAATTGACAAACCATAGGGACCATTCTTGCAATTTTGTCAATTTATTTATTACTAAATTGCATGTCTTTTGAATAAGTAATTTGTGGAAAGAAAATTTTAGATGTTCATCGATCCGTCGAATGAAAACCAATCGCCGTAAAAAACTAATAACCAAAAACACCAATCGTCGAAAACAAACTAACATTAAAAAATAAACTATTCGTTGTGTGCTAAAGGAAACTATTTGTTAATTGAACCTATTCATGGATCCCACATTGATGACCGCTACATATGGTTTTACATTTCATCAAATTATCAAATAAAAACAAGAGCAATAGATGATATCGGATAGGATACTATCCCGCCCCCTATATACATACCTAACAAGAAACTATTTAATGAAACAAACTGTCTAATATAAAAGAATCTGTCAAAAGGCTGAAACGAACTATCTCACATGAGAAGAAAACTAATTGTTGCATGAAAATTATCTGTCGTAATGAACTATCTTGCGCCGCCGCATCGTGCGGGTACCCTACTATTATATATATATATATATATATATATATATATATATATATATATATATATATATATATATATATATATATATATATATCAGTGTTGTAAAAATCCCGATTAGGTCCCGATTAATCTCCGATTAATCCCTAGGCGCTACTCGACCGATTAGAGAGCGCCTAGCGATTAATCCATGCATAAAAAATGACTGAAACAGTAGAACCCGATGAAATGTTAACACTTTGAAGAAGTTATATCTCAATAGAAACTATTTGAAGTATGATTAGTGTTGTATTTCTCATATTAACGTATTTTGTTATGATATTAGTGATATTTATGAACTTTTATATGATATTTGTCATATTTAATTTTTTTAAATCTAACAAATTAGCAATTAATGGTCCCCGATTAATCTCCGTCTAGCCGATTAATCCCTTAACCCCAGTCCCACCGACTAGCTAGTCGAGCGATTTTTACAACCTTGATATATATATATATATATATATATATATATATATATATATATATATATATATATATATATATATAAGGGGAGTGCGCGGTGCGGTTTGGTGCGGTTATAGGTAAAACACAAACCGC